GTAGAGGATTCTTTCACATTGCATAGAGTTTTATGCGTAATTCTTGAGTATATATTTTTAAAATCCTGTCTTCAGTGAGGCTTCAATTTTAAAGTATGTATTTAGCAAATTATCAAAAACAATTTCCAAAGGTAGTAAAAAGAGCTGTATATTATGACCCAACAATGACTAATGACAAAACACAGGGAGGTCAAAAATGGAAACAGTTTGTATTTTTCATTGGTATACCATGATATCCTAAAGTGACTCTAGAAAATGGACTTACTGAGCTATCACTTGTGATAACTGAGCTATAACTTGTTATAACTCACAGAGCTATAACGCTCTGACAAATACAAGACATATTTTTATTTGCTAAGCGTGCAACATCATGGAACCATGGATTATGATCTCAACCATACATATGAGAACACTTATGATGGGTGTAAGATTCCGGGAATACTCCCGCTGAAAATGTATTTGCCTGGATGTTAGAATCCCCATGTTGTGCCCTTTAATGTACAAGGATTCAATTCCAAGAGCCTGAAGAAATTTTATTGGTCAGTGTTATACCAAAGTCCATGTCTAAGCCAATTCTGGGAGGTGATATAGTTGGACTCTTTTATTCCACTATTTATCTCACGGCCAAGGAAGAGCCCAAGAGGTGATGACCGCTCAAACAAAACTGAGCACCTGCTAAAAATAAGTCCCGAGGGTGGAAGATGGGGGAAAAATGATTGCTTGGTAGACATGGGTCTTTAACCTCTAAATTGAATTTACTCCTAATTTCCAAATTTGCCTCTCCCCTAGCTTCATCCATTTCTGAGGAATATTCAATTTACAAACAAAATTGGAGACCATATATCCTTGGGTGATAAAAGAAACTCTGCTGGACAATATGACATCCTGAACACCATGAAGTCTCCTCTTCGTCGTGGGCTCCTGGTTAAAGTAGGAGAGTTTGTCTTCAGTAGTTCCCATGATCAAGGCTTGACAATCAGTGATGAGATGATAGAATGGCCTATTGGGATGGAAGAGGTATGACATCATTTCAATATTGTGTACATTACAGTACAGTCCTGACATGAGATTAAGTTGGCACCCTTTTGATTCATCACTAAATTCACATTTGAAATGCAACCTATTGCCTTTGTACTATGCAATTTACTTTCACACATTCTAAGGCAGTTCCAATAGAAAAAGCAGGTTGTTTTAGGCTGTTATTTTTTAAATCTGGTTATATTTACTCATGAAGCAGTGGAATGAGTAAAATGAATAATGTTAATGAATTGACTTTTGAAATTTCTATTTGGCTACTATTTTTATATCCTAAAAGAGTCTCAGCTATATACAGCCAGAGACATTGTTATGTTTAGATTCACTGTAAACACAAGTAGATTATGTATTACAGCCATTTTACTGTAGATACCACCGTATTTTTTCCTTTGGTCATTTGCCTATTAAGTGTTCATCATTGTTTTATTTTACTTCTCAAAGAAGTCACCATGATTTAACTTAATCTTTCCATAGTTCATCAATCCTGGGCAATTTTACACATTATTTATGAACAAATGATACTTTGAACCCCTAAGGTGTTATTAATTTTCTGAACAAAGTGCACCATTTTTGACCCAGGAGCCAGAATTGGATAAATCACAATCCATGGTTCATTGCAAAAACTCATCTTTCATTGCTTTCTCTGTTTATTTTTATTTACAGACTTTTATTTATTTATGTAGTACTTCTAGTAATGTGCATACTTATCATGTTATTCGGCTTTCTTATGTAGAACCTAAAATCTTATAACCATCCCAGTACAGGGCCATGAAAAACATTCTCAAGTATACTAATCCTCATAGTGATTGCAATGTAGTGACCTGTGTTAAAATTTCACAAAATAAAAAGAGAAAACCCAGGGATGTTGAAGGTGACATACAAAATAAAAGTGATCAGATACTTTGGCTAAAGTTTGCCCTGTGTGAACAGTTAAGCAGAAAAAAAAGGGAAAATGTCAATGGTAACATGTAATTAGATATCTAGATAATATCAACACAATGGGGCTTTGAGAGTGTCATAGAGATTATAATAAAAGGAAAGATCTCTCACTCAACAAACTAGTAATAGAAGGGAACCACCTCAACAAAATAAAGTCCACATATGAAAAGCCAAACACTAACATCATAATCAGCACTGAAAGACTAAAATCCTTTCAGGAAAAATACAAAGATGTCTGATCTTGCCACGTCTATTCAACATAGTATTGGAAGTTCTTGACAAAGCAATTAAGCAAGAAAAATAAATAAAAGGCATCCAAATGGGGGGAGGGAAGTAAAATTATCTCTGTTCACAAACAACATGATTGTATATGTAGAAAAGCACAAAGATCACACACACACACACACACACAACTTTTAGAACTAATAAATTCAGCAAAGTGGTAGGGTAAAAAAATTAACATTCACGAATCAGTTGCATCTGTATATACTAACAATGAATAATCTGAAAAGGAAATTAGGAAAACAATTCTACTTAGAATAGCAACAAAAAGAATAAAATACTTCTGAATTAACCTAACCAAGGGGGTGGAACATGTGTATACTGGAAACTACAAAACAACTGAAAGAAATTATAGAAGACACAAATAAATGGAAATGTATCCCAGATTCATTGGTTGGAAGACTTAATATTAAGATGTCAATACTACTCATAGTATTTCAGTTTTTCAAGATGAAAAAGGTCTGGTGATCTGTTTCACAACAATGTGAGTATTCTTAACTGTACTGAAGTGTACACTTAAAAATGGTTAGAATGGTAAATTTATGTTACACATTTTTTACCACAACAAAAAAGAAATTTATCTCTTATTATAGAAGAAATCTAAGATATGCCCTCATAGCCACTAATAAAGGGCAAAATGGTAACCAATGCTTCTCTATTTTGCCTTAGGTCCCTCAATCTGTGTGTAGCCAGAGTTGTGGTCCAGGATTCAAGAAAATTCTACAAGAAGGAAAGCCCATCTGCTGCTTTGATTGCATCTCTTGTGCAAAGAGGGAGATTTCAAATCAAACAGGTGTGATTATTTGTGATTACTCTCTAATGCCCCATCCCCTATACCATGACATCACTGAAAAGAAAATAGCGAATATTGGCAATGGGGTCCTAGTCTATTATTGTTCCTTCTTCATTGTTTTATTCACTTATTCACCATATTTACTTTCATACACAATTATGTCTGTCCATTATGACAAAGGGCATGTCTGGCTGTGCTCACCCTACAAGGCTGATAGTACACTGGAGCCAAGATACATAATTCTTTACCATCTTTACTGTAAGACCTAAAATGCTGCCTTGACCTCTCTGAGTTTTGCAGGACCCCAAAGGCTTGAACAGGAGTTTACCTACCAGGTATACCCCCCACCCAGCAGGAAAGTCTCCTCTCCCAGCTAGTTCATCTATCATCCAGACCAGCTGTACTCCACCTGGTCTAACTACACAAACAAAACAATTACATCCTCTGCAAGAACCAGAAGGCACCTCATAGTCTTTTTGCTACAAAGCCTGCCTACAAATGTCCATACTTACTCTCTCTGCTCCCAAGCACAACCCTGTGTGGCCCTTTCTGGCATGTGGTATTCACTCCTCTGTGCTGCGAATATACATAACTAATAAGCTACTATGTGTCTCATCTGTCCAGTGTTTGGGTA